TACCGCCGTCTCCCCCGGCTTCGCCGCCGCCGCCGCCCATGCCGCCCTCCCCACCCGCGCCGCCCGCGCCACCGCCGCCACCACTAAAGTCCCCTCCGCCGCCGTCGCCCTCGCTGCCGCCGTTGCCGCCATCTCCGCCTGCGCCGCCTTTGCCTCCCCCATCGCCCCCCCTGCCGCCGGCTCCGCCAACTCCACCACCGCCTTCGCCCATCTCCCCGTCGCCGCCATCCAGCCCCTCGCCGCCTCCTGCACCGCCCTCCCCACCGTCGCCGCCCGCACCGCCGCCACCGCCACCCAATCCGCCGCCGTCGCCCTCGCCGCCGCCGTTGCCGCCCTCTCCGCCTGCGCCGCCATCGCCGCCGCCCTATCCGCCCCTGCCGCCGGCTCCGCCAACTCCACCACCGCCTTCCCCCGTGTCGCCGTCGCCGCCGGCGCCGCCCTCGCCACCCCCTGCGCCGCCCTCCCCACCCGCGCCGCCCGCGCCACCGCCGCCACCACTAAAGTCCCCTCCGCCGCCGTCGCCCTCGCCGCCGCCGTTGCCGCCCTCTCCACCCGCACCGCCTTTGCCTCCCCCATCGCCCCCCCTGCCACCGCCACCGCCGGCACCACCCTCGCCCGAGCCCTTGCCACCGCTACCTCCCTCGCCGCCCCCTGCGCCGCCCTCCCCGCCGGCACCGCCGGCGCCGCCGCCGCCACCACCCAGTCCGCCACCGCCGCCACCGCCGCCGCCCGCTCCACCCTCTCCACCCGCACCACCGGGGCCTCCCCCATCGCCGCCGTCGCCGCCCGCGCCTCTCACTTCACCGCCACTACCGCCGTCTCCCCCGGCTTCGCCGCCGCCGCCGCCCATGCCGCCCTCCCCACCCGCGCCGCCCGCGCCACCGCCGCCACCACTAAAGTCCCCTCCGCCGCCGTCGCCCTCGCCGCCGCCGTTGCCGCCCTCTCCACCCGCACCGCCTTTGCCTCCCCCATCGCCCCCCCTGCCACCGCCACCGCCGGCACCACCCTCGCCCGAGCCCTTGCCACCGCTACCTCCCATGCCGCCCCCTGAGCCGCCCTCCCCGCCGGCGCCGCCGGCGCCGCCGCCTCCACCACCCAGTCCGCC